TTGAACTAAATAAATAAAAAAACGCTTCAGTGCGCCGACGCTCTGGAGACGGTTAAGAGGTTAATGCTCAAGTAAAAAAAATAAAAAATTATCACAGTTGAAAATGGTTTTGCTGCTTGATATTTTTGTGGATACAGTGATGAATTTTTCAGGATTCTTTAATAAATAGAAAGGTTTAATGAACAGCATTTATTCGAAATATCATTTTTTGTAACATTATAAATGTCTTTCTTTACTGTCACCAATTTAATGCATCCTTGCTGAATAAAAGTATTAATTTCTTTCAAAAAAAAAAAAAACTTACGGACCCAAACTTTTTGATTGGTTGTATGAACTGATCAAACGAAGTATGCAAAGTGGAGATTAAAATATTGACTAAATCTCGCAATAAAAAAAAATAAAAAAAAATTCTTTTTAAGATTTATACCTTCTACCTGTCCAGTTATGCATGTAATAGGAAGCTTGAATAAGGTTTTTCCATCCTCATGCACCTTGTTCCAGTCATGAGAAACTGATTTCCTACAGAAAATAAATAATGTAAATCTATGTCCATCTATGATGTGTTTATTGCATAAACATATAGTTCATAAAACATTACAATAACATAACAGTATAGCCAAATAAGCTTGCACTGCACAATCAGCTTCAGGACAAACACAGAAACACACCTTAAATAAAAGACACATTATTCACAGAACTGGTAATCTACAGAGTTTTGGTTACCTATACAACTCAGCCAACGGTTCACTCTCCTGGCTGCTCATTTGTTCTAGGTAACCATCCAATCCGCTAGCGATGTCCAGGGCCTTCTGAAGATTATCACGCAGCCCAGCTGGAATATTTGCATTATTCTCCGCAATCTCTTTAGCCTTCAGCAGGTACTCAACGACAAACTCCACAGGAGTGTCTGAAACTAATATTCAAAAGATGGATTAGTGAATAAGTAGTATGTGATTTTGTGGCTAGATGTGTTATGATGTGTATAATCATGGAAATGTTATATTTGAGCTTTCACATATGTGATCCAGCTACTACAACACTTAATTACTCATGCCTACTACCTGGTAGTTGGTCTAACTAAGATTTAGAAGTGAGAACTGGTTACATAGCACACCAAGACTGTGTAATTACTACAGGTCACATATCACATAAATGTATTGAACACGCAAGCCATGTTACTTGTCCTACTTGCAATCATTCAAAGTTACCAAAAATTCTGGGTGCAATTTGTTGCTAACACTGTGTATACACTGACAAAAGACAATATAGAACCTCTTATAAACTCGACACATTTCACATAAAGGGTTAGTTCACACAAAAATGACAATTCTGTCATTAATTACTCACCCTCATGTCGTTCCAAACCCGTAAGACTTTCGTTCATCTTCAGAACACAAATGAAGATCTTTTGGATGAAATCTGAGAGCTTTCTGTACCTCCATTGACAGATACGCAACTTACACTTTGATGCTTCAAAAAGTGCATAAAGAGATCGTAAAACTTATCCACATGAATTGAGTGGTTTAGTTAAAATTTTCTGAAGAGACTTCTGAAGATCGTTTTAGATAAACCGATTGAATTTAGGCTTTTATTCACATTTAAACATTGTTTAGAGCACATAAACAGAAGCTCAAAGCTCAAATGTGCTATGTAACACATGAGAATGAACCTCATTGGTCCTTGAAGAAGCTCAAACGCGCTGCGTAACACACAAGAATGAACCTCATTGGTTCTCGCACATCAAGCAAACATGCTTGAGCTTCCGTTTACCACAACTGATGTGTGAGTTGATGAATGTTTATATGTGAATAAAAGCCTAAATTCAATCTGCTCATCATATAAAGCAATCGTGTCTCTTCAGATAATTCGGACAAAACCTCTACGATCGCTTTATGAACTTTTTGAAGCATCAAAGATTTAGTTGCGTAGCTGTCAATGGAGGGACAGAAATCTCTCAGATCTCATCAAAAAGATAAAGATGAACGAAAGTCTCACGGTTTTGGAACGACACGAGGGTGAGTAAATAATTACAGAATTTTCATTTTTGGGTGAACTATCCCTTTAAATCGAAGGGCTGCGATTGGTGCGCCTTGCTGGAGAAGCGAGTGTGTTTTGTTGTCTGTCTGTTTTGCTGCATGTTTACTAGTCTCCTACTTACACTCTTAAAAATTAGTTTATTTACTGGCATTGGTGGTTCCATGAAGAAACTTAACATCCTGAAGCATTACAAAAGTAGAGGAAAAAGGTTATTTAGATTTTTTTTTAATGTTCCTCTAAGAAAGAACTGGTCACTGAAAGCTCCTTTCGTGAAACAAAAATGGTTGCTCTATTCATTGCACCGCTACAAAAATATATACATGTAGCCCTTTTCTAAACTTTATTTTTAAGAGTAGCCTATGTGACAGTAGCAACGCTGTCTACTCGACACCTCTGACCGAGCTCAGTGACACTAACCCTGAGTGGAATCCCACTCGTGGCTTGAAAGTTATTTTCGGCTGTGTAAATTCTCAGTAAGAGTTGTAAGACTACATTAAACACACATTAGTTCTGTTGCAACAAACAAAACTGACGTTATTTCATGCTTGTCATGTAGCAATCTGTAAATAGTTCGGGAATACAACCCGATCGGACGCACGCACACATTCCTACCTTTTGCTGCCTGCATAGCGAATCCTCGTAGTTTGAATTGGAAGAGTTGTGTTGGCCGAGTTCCCCGTTGCACATGCCCACCTACGTTATGCAAACTATCACGTCACAAACTTACACAAGTTAACGAATTCTCAGTCAATGCATGGCTCAGTTTCCGTCCGTGACCAGCTCGCGCGCGCTCTCTCTCTCTCTCTCTCTCTCTCTCTCTCTCTCTCTCTCTCTCTCTCTCTCTCTCTCTCTCTCTCTCTCTCTCTCTCTCTCTCTCTCCCGTGTGCGTTTGTGTACAGAGTACGTAAATGTATGCGCTTCTGAGCACGGTTCGGTGAGGCTGCTGCTGTCTGACCCCTGTGAATCGCATTTCACGCCCCACAAACCCACCCGTTTGAGCACTTAAAAAAAATCTGTTCATCCTTCAGGATATTCACAGGTTTTCTGGCATGTTTGATCAGGGTTGGAGCAAAATTCTGCAGGATGTAGGGCAGGGCCGTTTATGGTTCTACCATAAAATGAGCTGCATGTGTGAAGAACAACTTTGCAAGAAAATATCTAGTTAAAAATGCAAAGATGTAGCCAACTATAGCCTAATAATATCAGTTCTACATGTGAATAATATTAACTTTTGCAGTTTTTTTTAAAAACTATTACATAGATTGAGAAGGGGGACTTTGTACAGGGGGCCCAAAAAAGTGAGAACTGTAAACATGGGGCCCATAACGATTGGAGGGCCCATAACAATCTCTCGCAATTTCTACCCCTGCTTGAATACTACTAAAATAATTGATTTCTATTGATTTCTATTGAGGGGAAATAACCCCACCCCCCCCAAAACCAAGTAGGAACACTGAATAAAATTAATAATTGGTCAAGTTATAACATATAACAAAGTCAGAATGACCTATTGGACATATTGGTTTTAGGTCAGAGTCAGACTAACAAAACAACCACAGAAAATTAAACTAAGTCATGTGACCCACATACTCAAAACAGACTCAACTGATAATGATATTAGTAGGCTATCAGGTGAAAATTTATTTATCATGCCATTGCCTCTTAGAGACTAAAGATTATTATGTGGTGCATGTTTTCTGTTTCAGGGCTAAAATGTGATTAATGTGGATATATATATATTGACTTTTTTTTTCTTGAGTCTAAAATATTATTTAAAAATTACCCTAGCTACCCCCCATAAACAAAAAACAAAACAAAAAAAAAAACACATGAAGTAGCATGAAAGCAATTCCAAAGTTCCAAATGTTGGATAACTTGACATTGGAGAGCAAAGTTCAAGTCACGGTCGGGTCAACTTATATATATTTTTTAATTTCTAAAGAAGTTGCTGCCTAAAAATTTTAAGTACAATCAACTGGACTGTGTAAGTCATTTCAACTTCAATTATATTAAATTGAAAAAATGCATTGAATCTTATATAACTTTTACAAAAAGTAGAAAACTGCTTAACGTTTTTTGATGAAGTTAAAGTCATGTACAAATATATGTTGTCATGACTTGTTGATCATATCATTTTTTTTTACAGTCTAAATAAAACTCTATAGGATCTTAATGGAATTTGCTAATAGCATTACAAAAGTTAGTAGGCTATAGCATACGCACTATCTACCCCCTTCAAGAGCAAACACGAAAATTGGTTACAGTAATTCCAAAGTGCATGGGTTACTTGATATTTTGGAATGCAAAGGTCAAGACTGAGGTCTGCACTAACTTTGCTTAAGTGTGCACGTGGTTGCTTATCAAACAGAGTCAAACCTGTTAAACCTGCTTGACTTCATATTGGTCTTTTCCTGGTCTTCCTTATGTTATTCGTTGTTTGAGTTTAATTTAAGATCATTCATAATTTTCTTATTTGTTTGTGTGCGCCGGAAAACTGTCAAATAATTTGGATAAAAAAAGAGGATGCGTGACCTTATGATCGTTCTCCATATTAGCCTACTCAATTACGGAAACAAATCATAGTGCATCATCTTCGGGTGTATCATCAAATAAAAGTTATCGCATTCTCTAAACACTGATATTGACATAGTCCTCGGAATCCATAAATATACACACTTTGGTGCCTAATGACTTTTTTTTGTTGTTTTTTTTATCATTAGAAAAAAAAAGAGGCATAGCCTAATTCCCATTTATTTATTTTGTATTTTTTTGTGAGACATTCTTTCTTGATCAACTATAAATTAATGTAGCATGAAAATGACTTTTATAATTTACATAACTTTCCGTTTAGCTCTCATAACGTTTCGACACATTTCATAATCCACACGTTTCGACTCGAGGCGTTTGGTGCACGTGTGGTCATCGTCATGTAACTGATCGTAGCGAACGTGAGTTGTGTAAGTTCAAAGTCTGTGAGACATCACGGTTTTGGAGAGAGATCATCTTTCATAAGTTTTCCTCGCAAGCTCCTCCCTGGTTCCTGCTGTTGCACCCCATGACATTATATATCGACTCTTCAAATATGGAGAGACCTGATGAACCTTTAACAGTTAATACACCTGAAATTCGGCAGTCAGCTGTTCCTTGGCACCCATCCTTGGAGACTTTGACGATGGAAAACCTCAACAAACAGAAGGAAACCGTATTCAGCCTGGTGCAGGTGAAGGGGACGTGGAAACGCAAAGCAGGGCACAATGTGAAGCAAGGAATGAAAGGACGAGTTTCAGCTGCTAAAATGTGCGTATAAATCAATAAGTATTCTGAACATTTACAGAAACACTTATAGGCTACTATTTTATTTATAAAAATGTTGTCAGGTGTGCTTTAGGTGTAACTTTTCAATGAACTAGTTTTATTCAAGTCAAAGGTCGAATCAACTTAAATATTTCATCACGTCCAAATAACTCCTACTGTCCTGAGAAACTGCACCCACCTGTGTTCAGGTTTTTTTGACTCGCTTAGAAAACATTCAAAGATACATTAATTCTTTTTTTAGGGTAGGCTACAGCAGGTAGTGTTTGTAAGAATAGTGCAGGTAAGGATGTTTTTTTTAATCTGATTTTAAATTGCATTATGATTATGTAAAAATGTTATATATTTACAACAAAGTAAGGAGTTGAGTAAAAATGTATGTTAAAGACCTATTTTCCTGGTTAATTGTGATTACTTTTGGCAATTCATAGCATTTAATGTACAGTATTTTTATAACAACACCTGCTTTGTTATGCTATTAGTAAATGGACATAGGAATAGAGCTACAATTTTAGTTCATACATATTTCTCTTTACTTCACACTATGTCTCCATTAAAACAGGAGGAGTCAAATGCAGGCTGCATTTGCATATCCACTACTTATGTAAAGCAGGTTGTGTCAGTATTACAGAAAAGTGCTGTATTGGTTTATGTTGTTACACTGTGTTTAGGAGAAAACTACATCCAAGGGGTCTTTTACACCTAAATATTTGAAAGATAACAACATGCTGAAAGGGCAAGGGTGAAAGGCCATAACTGGTTACGCGAATATGGGTAACATTTGACAAATTAAAATGTAAAATTAGTTATTACTTTTAGATTAGTGCTGTCAAATTGATTAATCGCATCAAACACAAGTTTGTTTATATAATATATGTGTGTATATATATTAATATATTATTTATATATAAATAGTAAACATGTATATGTGTGTGCGCGCGACTGTGTGTGTGTGTACAATGCACACACACACATATATAAGCACAAACTTGTATGTCGGATGTGATTAATCGCGATTAATCGATTTGACAGGACTAGTTTAGATATTCTTGACTATTGTAGTCAAACCAGGATATAATACTTTAACTAAACGGATGTAGTATATTCTTGACCTGAAAACAATAGAAGGGTTAAATTATTTTTTTACAAGTATTTTTACAGCAGTAATTACTGTATATTTTTTTATTAGTTTGAGAACAGAAATAATGCAGTATGGTAGCACCACTTTTTTGCAATATATTCAATTTGACATCTTTAAAAAAAAATCAAAAACAAGCTACAAAATGAGTTATGAGCTTTATATGTTGCAGTTACGAAAGCACCTCCTCTAGTGGCACCACCTGGACAGTGGTCACCCCCATCACCTTCACATATACAGTTACTCAGACCAAAAACCTTCTTGACCCCAGCAATGACACTCTGCTTTTGGGCCACATCAGAGACACTGAGCAGCTTGAGGCCGTACGGTCCAGCACCAAGCCCTTAAAACGCTTCATAGTCATGGATGAGGTAGTGTACAATCTCTATGGTTCTCAGGTCACCGACTACCTCGAGGCCAGACACGTCCTGTACCGGATCCTGCCCCTGCCCACAACGGAGGAGAACAAGTCCATGGAAATGGCTCTGAAGATCCTGGAGGAAGTTCACCAGTTTGGTATCGACCGGCGCACGGAGCCCATCATTGCCATCGGCGGTGGGGTCTGCCTGGATATCGTGGGTCTCGCAGCGTCCCTCTACAGAAGGCGCACTCCATACATTCGTGTTCCCACCACCCTTCTGTCCTACATCGATGCTAGTGTCGGAGCAAAGACGGGCGTGAATTTTGCAAACTGCAAGAATAAGCTAGGCACCTACATCGCACCTGTCGCTGCATTCTTGGACCGGTCGTTTATACAGACAATTCCTCGCAGGCACATATCTAATGGTCTTGCAGAAATGCTGAAGGTACAATAAAAGTTTTGTTGTTTTTTTACTATATTTATTATTACAGTTTTTACAATCGCTAGGACCAGTTTCTCAATACTAAGGCCACCTTTTTAAACGCTCCTTGCTTTCTCACAAAATGCATTCAATTACTATTTCTATCAACACGTTTTCTCACAACCCTCACCAAAACTCAGGCCCAAACTATTGAACATAATAGTTCAAAACCTAACAGAATACAAAACTGAACAAGACAGCAATTTTGGTAGCACTTTATTTTAGCACTGTCATGTTCCCAATGTACATACTATGTACCTATTATAGTTATTACAATTACTGGGTAATAGGTAATAACCCTGAACCTACCCCTTAACCTAACCCATGTATTATATTCCCTTAAATTACCCAGAACCTTTTCTTAGGCAAGTACACGTAAGTGCACATACTGTAATTATTATTATTGGTATACTTCTACCTGTTGTTCGTGTTTTTGGGTCATTGTTTTTATGAGTGAGAAAGTGTGTTTGTTGGGTGACAACCTTAGTGTTATGGGAAAACGACTTGATCTGAGAGATGTGTTTTGGTACTTGTAATGCATTTTGAATGTGATATGAACTGCTCTGCCAAGCTGAAGAGTTTTAAGAAAAGTCACCAATCTAAGTATTGAGAAATATGTCCTAGCATCTGTATTTGTCAAACAGATTTGAATTAACTTATATTTATATTGTTGTAGATGGCTCTCATGAAGCACAGAGGGCTGTTTGAACTTCTGGAAACGCAGGGACAGTTCCTGTTAGACTCCAAGTTCCAGTCCGCTAAGGTCTTAGAAGACGACTGCATTGACCCTGCTTCTGTTTCCACCCGTGTCGCTATAGAAACCATGTTGGAAGAATTAGCTCCAAACCTGTGGGAGGATGATCTTGACAGACTGGTCGACTTCGGTCACCTGATCAGCCCCGAACTAGAGATGGTATCTTTACTTCTTCGACTGCACATTCTACTATTTTCAAAGGGTTGGGTGGGGTTATAAAGGCTTTCCCTCATGATTAATCCGTTTCGCCTTAAGGCGTTCAATATTCTTTTCTTGGGTGAGATCAATTTTTTTTTAGGAATGTAGAGAGTCTGAAAACTGTTCTCATATTTGGATGCAGTTTCTCCACATTAAAGTACCTGAGACTGTTCCTTACAAAAAATAAGTATACCTCATGTTCATTTTATGAAGTATATTTTTAAGTGTACTTTATGTATTCTAATATCAATGTACTAGAAGTATAACTTGTATGTGTAGTTTGTCAATACTACTTGGGACTAAGTTGGCCCACTTTTTAGTCCATAAAAGTTTACTTTTAAGTACTTTACTTTGAGTACACAAAAAGTTTAACACTAAGTTTTTAATTTGTACAGCAACTATATTACAAGTGAACTTGTAGATATACTGATAGTTTACTAGTAAAATACTTGTAGCACATTTTTTAGTTTATGCAAGTACACTTTGAAGTATACTCTCAGTAAACTACTAGTTTAGTTGTTTTATAGTGCAGATTTCCTTTAGTTAACATAACATACCATCACACTTACAGTTTACTATTTATTAATGTATTATTTTTGCACTTTAAGTATATTTAGGTATTCATTTTTTGTATGTATACTATTTATATATAACGTTACCTTTGACTGTACTTTTAACCCTTTCCATTTAAAAACTTTGTATTCTAGCTTCATGCATCCTTTTTAATCAACACTTAAATATGGGTAAGTTTCGTAAAAAAAGAAAAAAGAAAAAGAAGAAGCAATATTTTAAATAAAAAGCTGAGAAAATCGCATTTTACCGAAGACTTCGTCCGGATCGGTTCAGAACGATGATCAAAACATAGATGGAGTAGGTTGAGTCCATCAAAACATATGTGTTTTATATTTTATAAATCAATATTTTCAAAGAGTTTAAGTTTATATGACAGGATGTAAAAGTATGTGGTATTTAAGTAAAAAGTATTTAATAGGCTATACTCAATCAAAAGACTAAACACAACTACAAGCCAAGTATTCTTAGAATACTAAATTATACTTTTAAGTATATCTCGGTCAAAAGATTGAGTACAAGTATAGGCCAAATATATTTAGATTTGTCTGTCAGTATGAGTCAAGTATACTTAGGCTAAGTATATTTCTGAGAAGTACATAAAAGGTGGACTGAAAGTATACGTTTTTATTTTTAATTTAAAAGAGTATACTAAAGCACACTTGAATAAACTTCTTTTTCCTAAGGGGTGTTTCAGGCTTTGGTTTTACACATGCTAAATGCATGTGAAATACTTAATCATCCCTTTTTCCATGTTTTAGAAAGTCCTACCAGCTCTACTCCATGGTGAAGCAGTGAATATTGACATGGCGTACATGGTGTATGTGGCACGCGAGATGGGGTTGCTCACAGAGGACGAGAAGTTCAGGATCGTCTGCTGCATGATGGGAATGGAGCTGCCGGTTTGGCATCAAGACTGCACTTTTGCTTTGGTGCAGAAATCTCTAAGTGACAGACTACAGCATTCTGGAGGACTCGTGAGAATGCCTTTACCAACAGGCCTCGGAAGAGCAGGTAATACAATACAACTAGTGTTAGTCGAAAACAGACTGAAGCAATTTCATGTATTTTAACAAACTAATTTTGAGTTTGAATAATTCACTGAATGAATAAATTACTATACAATTATTTTGTAAATTAAATATGGGAAAATTATGAAGTTTTTACATGTATCCCTACGCTACCTGAAACTTGTATGTCAGGTAGGGATATGACTTGAGCTTATTAAAAAGAAAAGATAAAGCACCTAAGGGGAATTTTTAAGATATTGTGTAAAGTGATTAATCCTCTGGTACTGTTCGCATGTCTGTCAAAAATGACCGGAATTAAAGTCATAAATCTTGAATGCTTTGGAGAACAGACTTAAGTTTGGTCTCTTTTTAAAGACAACACCTGGCAGATTATTGCTAAAGTGAAAAAAGTTATAAAATGTTACATTTATTGCTATTTTCAATTTTTATATTAAATGTATATTTTACAAAACACGTTTTACTCTAAAACTGTGAGAAAATAAAAGCCATAAATCTAAACAAGTTGTGTTCCAAATTTGATTTTGATATCTCAAAAAATGAGCTTTTAGTAAGAACTTTTTTGTCCAAACGTTTCCAAAAGATGAAATTCGTCTCTTATTCATTTCCAATGCAGTAATTTTTGACCGCGAACAATACAAGTGTGACTATTTTTACCATTTAACCTTTTCGAATCATGTCCATGATTTTTTGTGTGTTCACAAAGCAAGTGCCAAAACCTTTTCCAAGTTTCGTATCATTCTGATGAAGTAAAAAAATTAAAAATAATAAATATTCTTACCCTCATTCCTCTCTTAGAAATCTTCAACGACACTAATGAAGACACTCTGTTCCGAGCGTATGAGAAGTGGTGCGATGAGCTCAGCACTGGTTCACTTCAATGAGGTCACCTCACAGATGATCTGACACCAATGTTTACATATGGGGAATCCTCTTAGCTTTAACAATTTCTACTTGTGTACTATTCTATGACAGCTTCTATTTCTTTTTTATTTTGTATACAGAAAACATCATGTACATCATGGGCATTTAAGTGTTTTACATTTAAAACAATTGCTTTTCATTACTGTTAATGCCATTTTTGTAAATGGCCGTGAATAGAGGAAGGCTGACTTGATATGTGAAGATCTTTCTATAGTTGTGTTAAAGGGGGTTCTTTACGACCATTTCATATTAGATAAAGGGACATTTCGGTTAATCATGAAATCATGTATTAAAGCTAATAAAGTCTACCTAATGTGTTTGATGTAATGCATGCAAGTTTATAATAAACAATGCATTTATTAACAACAAGACTGTTATGAAGAGAAAGATATTATGTTTGAGAGCCTAGATACCATATATGTGTGGAAAACATGACACCATTGGTTTGGTATTCAATGAATGTATATTTCTCTTGCTTTTGTCTTCATAAGCCTTAAAAACAAAAACAGCACTTCATGCAAGATTTTCAGTAATCATTTACCCTATAGTGTAGTCAATTAAAAGAAAAAAATTACAAAACAATGACCTTACAATGCATAAATAGAGACAAAAAAAAACTACTACATTTGAATCTGATAATCTGATATAAATGTTCACTCCTGTCTTCATCAATGATTTGTTGCATAAATAAAACTACACCACTTTTGAGACTTTATTTGACGTTTAAAAAATTGTAGTAGACTTCCATCCATTGCAGTAGGAGTGCCAATGAGCTGATATAAATATAAAAAGGCAACGATTGTAATTTAGCTGTTCAATAGCAAGTCATTCATGTACAGATTTTGACATTAGTTTTACTGATAATGTTAGTATACTGTCTAAGCCGTCCAACACTAAGTGATTGCACATAATAATCACAGATTACTGATTAAAAACAGTGCCTGACTGATAAAATCTGTGCAAAAGTAAATATTGTACTGAAATCAAACCAGACGGTGACGGTACAAATCTAAAATGTTAAAAATTTCCAACAACTCTCTCATGGTTAAACGAGGAATCTGACAGGCAAACAGACTTCATATATGACCATTAGATGGTAACCACTGGCCAACATGTTTAATTTTATCATCAACAAACATTTGTTGAAAATAATTCAATAAATTAATGCTACCGATTGGAAGCACTAAATTAGATAGCTTCTAACTATCAGACCTCTGTGTTTTTCTTTGTCTGCAGTCCTGTTTTGAATTGAACTGTACATGCCTAGACATGTGTTACTGGTTACTCCACCTCTGGAAAATGTACACCCCCAAAAAATGAAGTTGCATTTGTAGACAATATCAAGCCAACTCTGAAAATTACACTTTAGCTGTTTATTCTAGCTATCCTGGAGAAATCCTGCAGAAATCCTTAATAAATCAAGAAATTGTTCAAATCAGTCATTCGTAACTAACTCAAAAATGGTATATGAAAAAAACATATGTACACACTAAATAATCAGAAATACAAGATAAGCACTGTACTTAAAAATGCTCTTAATGTTACACATGATCTGGATTGCAAGGAAACCACCTGAATGTATCATTGGTACTGCAACATTTAATTATATAAAAATATCTAGTCGTCTAACTTTGGTTCATCGAAGTTTGTCTGCAATGCTAACAGCCGTTTTCATGTTCATCCATACTGCTGCTGTCGCTGCTGTTGGATGGGACGGGGGAGCCGGAGTATAGCAGGGGGTCACTGCTGCCCACTGGAGACAGGGTGTTGTCCATAAGCATGTCGTCCAGCTTGGCAGAGGTCTTGTTGGGGCTGTCGTAGACCCCCGGTTCCTCTTCCTCTGTGGGGCTGTCGTTGTAGCTGATGGTGCCGCTGTTGAGGTCCAGTGTGGTGGGGCGGGATATATCAGGACTGGGGAGGTGTGAGTACAAATCGGATGTGCAGTTCCCCATTCCGGGCTCTTGTTTGATAGCGCGAGCCACCAGGTCAGAGGAATAAAGGCTGGTAGAAGGTAAAACGGCGAGTCCATGAGCACGGGCTTGCATCTCAAGCTCCTGGACCCAACCAGAAACGACAAATACACACACTTTAGGATAACAGCGTTACTCTAAAAAATGCATGGGTGCATAAAAAGTTGTGCGTGTAAACAGTAGGGACATTGTGAACCAAATGCCATGTGTCAAAATGAGGGAAATTCCCCATAATGAATTACTCAAGTGTAACTTTTGAATTTCATGCATCTGAAGCACTAAGCATAATTTATAAGCTTTCAAAGCAATGTTACGCTTGGTGTTTTGCCATCTAACTTCAAAAAAAAGAAGCATTTTGTCAAAGGGCATGTCGAAACATACTTCTGACATGTCTGATCATGTGACTAGCTGCCATGAGCTTTTAACCAATCGCAGTGAGTAGCTTTTGTTTATCAGTTGGTTTACCTGAATACGAAGCAGGAGATGTCTGTTGGCATGTTCTAGTCTCTTTTGTCTGTTTTCCAGCTCTTTTGCTTTCTGCTGCTCTTTCTGCAGTTTCCTAATATAATCCACTGAAGCTTTCAGGATGGTCCCCTTATTCCACCTCATGTCACTGCAAAAACCAGAGCCAGACGGTTACGCTGGCATTTGGCATCTATGTGTAACCACAACATTTTCTGGTATAGATCATAGATGCTTAGGCTGAATATATAAATACAGAATATATGTAATTGTAAACCAAAGCTTATTTTAATTTTATTATAATTTTTTTTAAGACTTACGGATCATTTGACTTGGGAATTAATGTCCCCAGCTCCTTAATTCTGTCATTAATATTAAAACGCCTTCTTCGTTCAACTGTATGGATATAAAAGCCAATAAATATATGGTCATATTTCTTTGTCATGATTATTATTAAACTTAAAATTTGAAATATACAAAAATAAATTATGTGACAGACATTTTAGCACATATTTCAGATGTTTATGCATATAATGTGGTGATCGAACTCACTGAGGTTGTGGTTGTCCTTCTTTTGTCGCTCTTTTGCCAAGGCTCTGACCTCTGATTCTGAAATGCGTAGTTATATTAACTGAAACAACTTCATAATTATCAGAGTCAACTTCAGTTTTAACATCAAGAACTTTCTATTACAGAGTTCACAGTTCCTTCCCTAGTGTGCCAATGTATTCTAATGTGTTGCTGTTCACTAGAAATTCTAAAAAGTAGAAAAGTAAATGTAAGAATTACTGTATTTTTAAATGAAACACTTCAAGTTCCAATGTGTGTGTGTAGCATGTTTTACAAGTGTCCATATTGTGTGCAATTACTGTCTTAAGTACACAGGTGATTTTTAACACACCAACTGTGCATTTTGAAAATATTTTTGTGTGTAAAGATAATTTCAAATGTAAACCTTGTTGACACGCATGTTAGATCATCAAATAATATACTTTTATAGATATTAATGTACAGTGTCTGGACAAAAAAACAACAACTCTTCATTCATGCTTAGGGCCTTTCAGAGGCCGAGGAACGGAAAACATACCTACTGGAAAGCCTTCAGGCCTTTGATAAGTGTCAAACTTGCCACATGGTCCAGACTTGTCCATTATGTGCATCATGCCAGGTGCTGGGGTAACTATTTAATACAATATATCTTTCATTGATATTGTGCATTCGAAAGTGCACACAATATGGATACTTCCATTCCTAAGCACAGTGGGCTGTAAAATGGTAACCAAAAATGATTATTTACTCTAATGATAGATAAGACAGTGTGAATATACCGGATAATTCCCTTTTGACGGATGGCAGGTTAGAGCAGGAGTTGTTAATGGTAACCCCAGCTGGAGAAAGAGCATGATTGTTGTACATGTCCAACAGGTTTGCAGAAACTGGAATCTGAAAAATTAGAACCAAAAAGATTTCAGTGCATGTTCTGACTGTTCAGGTGATTATATGAATCCTAAATAACATGACACTACAATCCTTAGGGCTGTTACCGCATTAGTCATTTGAAGTCCTGCATCCATGAACCCAAGAATATCATCGTTGTAGCTCGATTCCAAACTTATGATGTCTTCGATTACGTCATCCATCTGTACCAATTCAAATTTTAAGAGCACAATGTGTTCACATCACCTTGTAATAAGTGCTTCAATCCCAAAGTATTAATTAGATCCATGTTGAAAGCCACAATGGCTAATAGAAATGCTAAATTAATATGATAATGGACTCTGTGGACAATGAAAGATGATCATACACCACATACATGAATAATGTCTTAACCTTTGTCCTTTACCCAGCTGTCACCTTTTACTTTCCTCAAAGCCCTTACAGCACTTATGAACAGTAGTTCATCAATCAATCATAGACATAGAAATGGTGAGAAACTATTTAGTCGTGCTACTTACACAACTTGCTTCTTTTTTTTTTTAGGTCAAACAGGCCCTACCATGCAGTTGCTTAATACTCATAACTAATTTCAACCTTCATAGAGTGATGTACACTTTCGTTCATAAGTTTGGGGTCAGTAACATTTTGCTTTTGAGAGAAATTAATACTTTAATTCAGCATTCAGCATTGAAATTGATCAAAGTGAATGTCAAGACATTTATAATTTTACAAAAGAATTCCATTTAAAACAAATGCTGTTCTTTTGCACTTTCTATTCATCAAAGAATCCTGAAAAATAATAATAAATGGTATTTTTACAAACATATTAAGCAGCACAACTGCTTTCAACACTGATAATAATAAGAAATGTTTCTTGAGCACAAAATCAGCATGGAGCAATGGCTACTGAAAATTCAACTTTGCCATCACAGGAATTAATTGCATCTAAAAAAAAATCAAATATAATTTTACAGTTATTTTAAATAGTAAATATTTAAATGTAATAAAAAAATATGACTGTTTTTACTATTTTGATCAAATAACTGCAAATCTTATTGACCCCAAAGTTTTGAAAGGTGCACAATATGATGAATAGGTGAATAATATGAACAAAATCTAATGATTCGTAGGATTCTTGTTTACCTTCTTTGCCCTTTTGCTTATTTGTCTATGGACATTATTCACACATATTCTCAGGAAAACTCACCACATTTTGACTTTGGCAAAATATAATCTAATTGACTTAACTGGCAATGCCAGGTTTTGCATCTACCTCTTTCTCACAGGTGAGGGTGAGAAGGGCCATAGGGCTATTAGGAGCGCTGGCTCCTGGTCCAGGGGGCATGCCGTGTTCTGTGGGCTGGCTGGGGCCGGGCCCTGTGTTGGCCTGTGGGCTTAGCTTGGCTCCCAGTGCACTGGACAGGTAATGCTTCACCTGCTGCCTCTGGGTCTGATGGATGTGGTATTTCGATGGGCTTTCCAGGTGGGTCTGTACCTGAG